AGGTGATGGCCAATCTATAGACAGAATATTATTATAAGCTTCTGATGATCTTTCAACCTTCTTTCATGACTGAGCCTATTCCATGTGACAGTCATTCTTAGGACCATTTGACAGTCTGAAAATTATTGAGGATCCCAAGGAGCTTTTGTTATATAGGTTATTTCTTTCAATATTCAACATATGAATTACAACAGAAATCTTTAAAATATTTATTCATCTAAATAACTATAGTAAGCCTACTACATATTAAAATAACATCATTTTCCAAAGAAATGTTTTACATTTTTGTTAATCTCTTTAATGTCTGGCTTAATAAAAGACAGTTAAATTGTCATATCATGTCTGTTTTCAATCTGTTGCAATTTGTTGTTTTTTTTGAAATACATAAGGAAAATCCAATTTTGCACAGATATGTAGTTGGAAAATGAAGAAACATTTTAATAATCTTTTCAAGCAATTCTGGATATTATTCTTTAATGCTACACAATAACTCAACAAATGGTATTTCTTAAACCTTATAATTGCAGTATGGAATATGAAACCATATCAGTTAACTTTTCATACTGTGTTACATTAAAACCCATTGGTCTATTTTGCACTTCGAGTGGACCCTTTACTTATCCATGATTTTAGATCATCATGCGTTATTAGTCATTTGGAAAATATTTGTTCACTGAGTTATGCAGATCTTCTAAATGTTGATACATTTCATTGTATGATATCTAAAACCTAAAACCACATTCATTTGAATGATCACGATCTAATGGGAAAGACTTTAAGTACTGGGAAACTATCAAGTTCATGATGACAGATACAAGTTTTCTAAATGCTAATTTTTTACTCAAAAGCTCAAATTTTTCATTGGAAATAAATATTTCTGTTTGTTTGCCTTGATATGACAGGCTGACTTCATTCATTTGTTTAAAAAATGTATTTTGCCAGGTATCCAAGTCTGAATAGTTTATCTGTCAGTTGTTCTTTCAGGTAAAAATATGTCACATTTAAAAGCAGGCAGCTTAGCTCACAAATCAGTTACATAAATGTCTTCATTCAGGACAAACAACTGTTCTTTGGTATGATGCAGAAGAGCTTTATTTGTGCCTCCCAGTTTGCCATACAGAATATTAAAAAGACACAGTCAAGAGATGAAATTTAACAAAATTGAGTAATTTTCACTGCTTCATGAAAGACATTCTTAAGTGAAACTGACATTTGGGGCAGTAAAAAATGCAATAACTACTAGGATAGTTGGGTGTCACTGCTTTGAACAGGCTAAGGTGCTAGCAGTTTTACCCATCATTGCTTTTGTACTAGTGCAAATGTCAACACAGTCCAAAAAGGCAAATTATGTCTTAGAATCAATATGAAAACAGCTTTGTCCTTGCAGACCTCCCCTGAAAGGATCTCAGAAACTCCCATGGGTCTGTGAACCACACTTTGAGTACTGCTACCTTAAAACGTAGGTTTGAGGTAGGAGTTCTCCTAAATAGACTTAAACTCACTCTTGGTTTTATAGTAGTTTTGAGCTTTTTTCTCCAATTGCATATTTATGAATTTCCTGGTTTAAAAGTAAATGCAGATATAAATAAGTAAATATCTTGCAAACACTTGAATATGTTATACTACCCAATCCTCACCAAACATCTGTAAGTCAACTATAATTTATTCCATTTTTTTAATTTGAAAAAAGCCACTGATGCTCAAAGAGGTTTTGTCCTACAGCAAATAAATTTTGAGTCTAGAATTAAATATAAGCCTGTTTGGCTAAATAATGCATGCTCTATCTAATATGGCACATTGCCCAGGTCTCTGAAAACACTGAAGATACTTACATATATATGTGAATATAAATATGTACAATGCCGTTGGTTTTATTGGTGCCATATTTTTTGAGAAGACAGAGTATATTGATGTATTCAAATCCTGATGTTAAAAACACAGATATTTTGATAAATTTTCATGAAAATTGATCAAAATTTCTTTCACAGAGTCCATATAGAACTGTCTATATACTCAGGTCTGTCATGAATTGTCTGAATTAATGATGTGTCTCTATCATTATTAGCACTCAGTTTCTTCCTAATGGCAATTTGAAATCAATACCCCAGTCACTGCTTCATTTGAATTCCCAATCAACCCTGTGAAATGCATGGGGGTAGATTGTGTCACCCCACTGTACCAAAGAGGCAATTGATCTTTACACACATACAGTAGAAACTGCAATGGCATAGGTCAAGATCACCGAGATGTTTTGTAAAGAGGAGCAGCAGCTTTTCAGTCTGGTTGTGTTGATCTGTCTGCCTCATTCTACCCTGGTTACTAGCCCTGTCCTCCCTTGGTTTCATTACTCCTCCTCTCTCTCTCT